AGTGCTGGGATGACAGGCATGAGCCACCACATCCAGGCAGTACATGTTTTTAAATACAATTTTTCTTGATACAACTGCATGTATCTATCTCATAGAGTTATTAGTGAATACTTAATGTCAAGCTTTTAGAGCAGTCCTTGCCATACAGACAGTAGCAATGAATGTTAGTTGCTGTATGATTACCACTGCCAGTCAGTTCAATCACATTATTATTTGCCTGTCTCTCCGAGTTCCTCATCAATACTTTCAGGAGCTGTTTGGGAATAAGATCTCTCAAACTGTGTTTTTTTCTGCTTACACAGCAACACACCAGTAATCAACACAGAAGACTTCTGTGGACCCCAAAAAATGTGGGGGGGAATTCCCCCCACCAGCAAACATACAATCAGTTTTTTTGTTTTTTTGTTTTAAGATGGAGCCTCACTCTGTCGCCCAGATCATGATCTCTGCTCACTGCAACTGCAGCCTCCCAGTAGCTGGGATTACAGGTGCATGCCACCATGCCCGGCTATTTTCTTGTATTTCTAGTGGAGACAGGGTTTCACACCATGTGGCAGGCTGGTCTCGAACTCCTGACGTCACGTGATCCTCCCACCTCTGCCTCCCAAAATGCTGGGATTGCAGGCTTAAGCCGTCTTGCCTGGCCAGCAAGTAATCAGATCTGCATTTGACACCAGCTGGGTGTCCTTCAATTTAACTGTCATCTACCTGAAAATAGTGTCAGATCCACAGGGTGAGGACTCAGTCCCCAAAACTGCCCTTCTTCAGACACCAGTCACAAGTCTGGGTCTCTGAAACTTCTAATGGACCGCCTTCAAGTTGGGGCTCCCATGATCCCCACTTTGGGTTCCATTAATTTGCTGGAGCGGCTCACAGAACTCAGGAAACACTTACTTTTGTTTATACAGATGAGGAGACACATAGGGTAAGGTATAGGCAGAGGGTCCCAGAGCTTCCATGCCATCACTGAATGCACCACCTTTCAAGAACCTTCATGTGTTCTGTTATCCAGAAGTTCTCCCAACGCAGTTCTCTTGGGTTTTTATGGGACACTGTATTACACAGGTGTGATTGACCACCGTGTAGAAATGTGATTGGACAGGCTGGGGGCAGTGGCTCACACTCATAATCCCAGCACTTTGGGAGGCTGAGGCCAGTGGATCACCTGAGATCAGGCATTTGAGACCAGCCTGGCCAAAATGGCAAAATCCCGTCTCTACTAAAAATACAAAAATTGGGCCGGACACGGTGGCTCATGTCCATGCAGTAATCCCAGCACTTTGGGAAGCCGAGGCGGCTGGATCAAGAGATCAGGAGATCGAGACTAACCTGGCTAACATGGTGAAACTCTGGCTCTACTAAAAATACAAAAAATTAGCCATGCATAGTGGTACTCGCCTGCAGTCCCAGTTACTACTTGGGAGGCTGAGGCAGGAGAATCGCTTGAACTTGGGAGGCGGAGGTTGCAGTGAGCTGAGATCGAGACACTGTACTCCAGCCTGGGCGACAGAGCGAGACTCTATCTCTAAACCAAACCAAACCAAACAAAAAACAAAAAAAAATTAGCGAGGCCTGGAGGTGCGCACCTGTAATCCCAGGTACTTGGGAGGCTGAAACAGGAGAACTGCTTGAACCCAGGAGGCAGAAGTAGCAGTGAGCCGAGATCACACCATTGCACTCCATCTGGGCAGAGCAAGACTCCATCTCAGTCTCAGGAAAAAAAAAAAAAAAGAAAGAAATGCGATTAGACAGAAATTGCCTGATCTAAACCCAGCAAAATCTGTCTGCTCAGACTTTTCTTGGCCTCTCTGTGCAGCGTTTCTTTCGTAAGGGTAGGGGGCAGAACCCTCTCTTGAATGAGGGTCTTTTGAGCCACAATCAGAAGAGAGGCCTGCTTGGGGCAGGCAAGAGTTGGACAGCAGAAGATCAGAGGGGGATTCTGTTTCCTGAGGCCAAAAGTGCCTCAACATTATAATGAGGACAATGGAAGTTACATGCCAGGAATCCTGCAGACGAAAACCAATATCTATATCATAACTCCACAGGAGTGCTTTTTTTCTGAGGGGCTTAAAAATTCCACCTATGGAATTTAGTTAATCCCCGTAAATCTCTTGAAATGCTGGCCAGGAATTCAGTCACTATGGTTTTACAGAGCAGAGAGGCAAGATAAGACCTTTTCTTTTCTTTTTTTTTTTTCTTCCGGCATTTGGGTTTAAGATAGGACATTTTCAAGGTTACAAAACAGATATTCGGCCCACCATCAAAAATTAATCCAATCAAACATTAATCTAGTTTGGAACAGGAAGAGATACCTCTGGGTTACAATCACTTTCAAGCTTTTTTGATGGCTGATCACTAGGAAATGCATCAGGTACCAGCATACACGTGTACCTGAAATGAAAGTTCCAGAAAACCGTACTCCTATGTTCTCTATTTGTTACATTCCATTTCACTGAAAATGTACTCATGGGCATCTACTAATAAATAGATTTCAAAACCTACTATTCAGTTAGCCAGGAGTTTAAAGAGCATTATTCTAGAATCTAGGTCCAGATGCTCTGCTCGCCTCCACCCCATTTTTTTAAGTCTCAAAAAAAAGAAAGAAAGAAAAGAAAGAGAAGAGAAGAGAAGAAAAGCAAATAAATAAAAGAAAAGAAGAAAAGAAAAGCATCTCCTCTTGCCATCAGGCTGGAATGCAATGGCATGGTCATGGCTCATTGTAGCCACGACCTGCTGGGCTCAAGCAATCCTCTTGCCTCAGCCTCCCGAGTAGCTGGGACTACAGGCACACATGCCAGGGAAATTTTTTATTTTGTTTGTTTGCTCATTTTTAAAGACAGGTTCTCCCTATGCTGCCCAGGCTGTTTCCCCTCCCTTTAAAAAAGGTAGTTGACAATTATTGATTGTATATTTCAAATAACTAGAATACTTGTAATGTTCCCAACACAAAGAATGTTTGGGGTGATGCTTATCCCAATTGCCTTGACTTGATAATTACACATTATATATATGTATCAAAATATCACGTCTCCCCAAAATATGTATAATTGTGATATATCAATTTTTTTTGCTTTCTCTCTCTTTTTTTTTTGAGACAGGGACTCACTGTCGCCCAGAATCAAGTACAATTAGCCCTCCCAGGCTCAAGCGATCCTCCTGAGTAGCTGGGACCCAGGCTCAAACGATCCTCCTGAGTAGCTGGGACCACAGGCATGCACCATCCTACCTGGTTAATTTTTTTTTGTATTTATTTTGGAGCGATGGGTCTCATGTTGCCCGGGTTGGTCTAGAATCCTCCCTCTTTGGCCTCTTGAGTAACTGGGACTACAGGCATGCACTACCATGCCCAGCTGATTTTTTGTATTTATTTTGGAAAGATGGGGTCTTGCGTTGCCCAAGCTGATCTCAAACTCCTGAGCTCAAACAATCCTCCCTCCTCGGCCTCCCAAAGTGCTGTGATTACAGGGATGAGCCACTGCACCCAGCCAATTTTTAAAAGCAATAGGCATGGAACCAAAAGTATGATGGAAGTTCCTGGGAAAGGGGTTTCCTTGATCTTAGGTGTACTTTTTTTTTTTTAAGACAGAGTCTCGCTCTGTCACACAGGCTGGAGTGCAAGGGGGCGATCTCAGCTCACTGCAACCTCTGCCTCTCAGGTTCAAGCTGTTCTTGTGCCTCAGCCTCCCCAGTAGTTGGGATTACAGACACCTGCTACCATGCCCTGCTAATTTATTATTTTTTATTTTATTTTATTTTATTTTTGAGACGGAGTTTCCCTCTTGTTACCCAGGCTGGAGTGCAATGGCGCGATCTCGGCTCACCGCAACCTCCGCCTCCTGGGTTCAGGCAATTCTCCTGCCTCAGCCTCCTGAGTAGCTGGGATTACAGGCACGCGCCACCATGCCCAGCTAATTTTTTGTATTTTTAGTAGAGACGGGGTTTCACCATGTTGACCAGGATGGTCTCGATCTCTTGACCTCGTGATCCACCCGCCTCGGCCTCCAAAAGTGCTGGGATAACAGGCGTGAGCCACCGCGCCCGGCCTTTAATTTCTATTTTTAGTATAGACAGGGTTTCACCAGGCTGGCCAGGCTGGTCTCGACCTCCTTACCTCAGCCTGCCGCCTCGGCATCCCAAAGTGCTTGGATTCCAGGTGTGAGCCACCGTGCCCGGCCACTCTTAGGTGTACTTCTAATTGATGCTTCTTATTTAGACAAGTATTTGGATCTCCCTGGCTATACAACTGGAATTATGCAACCTCACACTCAGTTTAGGGTACATTATTCCCGTGTTCCTTTTTCTTTATTTCCATGGGATGTTAGAGCTTCTTCCTTCATCAGTTAATTCCACAAAAAGCTCCTGGACTCCTTATGTGCACTGTGTAAGTGGGAGTGGAAGAGAGCAGGCCCGTGATCTTGGCTAAGTCTCTTCAGCTATGGAGGACTCAGTTTTCTTCTCTGTAAAAGGGACCTGATCATAAGGAAATAATGTGCCAAGGCGTCATAGTAAGTGCTTAATACTGTGGTTCTCCAGAAGTGATCCCCAGACCAGCAGCACCATTACCACATGGGAACTCTATAGAAATGCAGATTCTAGGGCCTCACCCCAGATTTACAGAATCAGAAATTCTAGGGGGCGGGGGGACCCAGCAAGCAATCTGTTTAAACAAGTCTTCCAGGTGATGCGCATTCATGCTCAAGTTTGAGAACCGCAGGTTTAATAGGTGGTAACTATTAGCAGTTAGTACTTGAGGCTACAGAGACAATACAAAGCTCAGCTGGCTAAACTTAAGCACTAAAGTATCAGCAGCACCCACAGCTAAACGGCCGCAACTGCCTCACTCCCGGACTTCCCTCCCTTTTCACTCAGCAGGACACTCCGAGAGCGCTCGCTGATTGGTGGAGTCTCTGGTCGACATTTACCACCCACCCAACCGCTGAGAGCGTAAACTGAGAGGGGCGGGACTAGGCGGGGCCATAGCTGTGCGCCTATTGGCTACAGACCACGCCGAGGAGTGAGTGGGGCGGAGCTGCGCGTGCGCAGGGCCGAGGCGCGCCCCTGGCGGCCGTTGAAAAATGGCGACTGTCGCGGAGTTGAAGGCTGGTGAGTGCCAGCGAGGAGGCCTCCGCGTGGGAAGCGTCGAGCCTTCGTTTTGTGGAAAGGATAGGACGGGAGGGGAGCGCGCGGAACCCAAGGGTTGGCTTTTTCAGGGGTCATTCTTCGTTGTGAGGGCCGTTGGGGAGCGGCCGGCTGCTGTCTTGGTCCCTGCTCGAGTTCTCAGGGGGAAGAGGTTGTCTGCTGGCGAGTTTTAAGCCAGTTTGGAGGCACAGGAGGAGGCGCATAATCTGCTGACGTCTAAGAAGCCTACAGGGCTGCACCTTGGGCCCCTGGCGCATCTTCTTGTAACCTGCCGGGGGCTGGAGGGCTTGGACCAGGCTTGGCACTCAGGGCTAATGACTACAATTCCCACAACCCCTACGGGTTAGGCACTGCCCTAAACAATTTGCTTGGAGCAGTTGTAAGGATTTCGTTGGATCCTTACAATAACCTGTGAAGTAGCCCTCCCCTCCCCGCCTTTTCTTTTTTCTTTCTTTTTTTTTTTTTTCTTTTTTTCCGAAGGGAGAATCTCTTTCTGCCACCCAGGTTGGAGTGCAGTGGCGCGATCACAGCTCACTGCAGCCTCGAACTCCATGACGCCAGCGATCCTCCCATTTCAGCTTCCGGAGCAGGTGGGAATACAGGCGCTCCTCACGTTGCCTGGCTAATTTTTCTGTTTTTTGTAGACTCGGGATCTTGCTGTGTTGCCCAGCCTGGTCTTGAACTCCTGGTCTCAAGCGATCCTCACTCCTTGGACCCCTCAAAGTGCTAGGATTACAGGCGTGAGCATCTGGCCCCTTTTTCATCGGGAGAAACTAGAGGCAAAAAGTTTGCTGGCCTGGCCATTCTCCTGTCTTTTCAGGAAGATACTCTAAGCTACTTAAGTGCGATTCACGAATAACATTTGTACACTTTACTTTGAAGCAGATGTCCAGACGAGAAATGGTAATAATAGTTATCATTGAGCCTCATGTGTCAGGCACTACTCAGCCCTTGTGTTACCTAATTGTTTCCATGTAACAACCCTATGCCCATTTCATAGATTGGGAAACTGAGGTGCTGAGAGGTGAAATAGCCCAAAGTGATTTTGCTAGAAAGAGACAGAGCATGGGAACCGAGTTGTGTTGCACCAGTGTGTCCAGTCTTAAACACTGAGCAATGCTGCTGTCCAGTAAATAAAAACAGTTCCAGTTTGCAGGGAAGTCAGGATTTAAACCAGGAATTCTTAGAGATTTTAGAGAGGAGGCAAGTATAAAAGTGTGTGTTTGGGGCCCAGGGCTGGTGAACAATCATAAAACAGGTATGCCTCTGGCCACAAGAAAATCTGTAGACTCTGTTCCCAGGGAAATACACATCACATGTAATATTGCATACAGTTTCAGAGGTTTTAAAGGTACACTTGGAATGGGCCAAGCACAGTGGCTCATGCCTGTAATCCTAACATTTAGGGAGGATCGCTTGAGCCCAGGAGTTTAGGATCAGCCTACCTAATATAGTGAGATCCCATCTTTACTGCCTCCCCCTGCCTCCCCCTCCCACCTGCCAAAAAAAAAGAGCTGGGCATAGTGGCCTGTGCCTGTTGTCCCAGCTACTCCAGAGGCTGAGACACTAGATGGCTTGAGCCCTGGAGGTAGAGGTGACAGTGAGGTACACTAATGCCACTGCATTTCAGCCTGGGCAACAAAATGAGACCTTGTCTCAGTAAATAAAAATTAAAATTAAAAAAAAAGATACTCTTGAAATATAAGCAAGGTTAAGACCTTTCTGAAGAAGTTTTGATGGCCCAGGTATCTAAGCATAAATAATAGAGGGAAGGGTAAAATGATATGGACCTCCGGAAGAAACCCAGTGAAAACTTGTTTGCCAGCCAGTTGTCTTACATTTTATGGGCTTTTACCATTTTTTTTTGTTTGTTTTTGAGATGGAGTCTTGCTGTGTCACCAGGCTGGAATGCAGTGGCACAATCTTGGCTCACTACAATCTCCGCCTGCTGAGTTCAAGAGATTCTCCTGCCTCAGCCTCCCAAGTAGCTGGGATTACAGGCCTCCACCACCACACCCAGCTAATTTTTGTATTTTTAGTAGAGACAGGTTTCACCATGTTGTCCAGGATGGTCTTCATCTCCTGACCTTGTGATCTGCCCACCGTGGCCTCCCAAAGTGCTGGGATTACAGGCATGAGCCACTGTGCCCATTTTCCTCTTTATTTGGTTCTGTTTCTGAGAGGTAGAGCGAATTATGTTGGAGAAGGCAACTGAGGCATGGGCTGGTAATATACCACTGAGGTGCTGATGAGGCATGCTGGGTTTCCTCACTCTGCTGTCATTAATTCTCATTTCTCTGACCAGTTCAAGGTTGTACTGTTTGTAATACAGAGTAATTGGGACAGGATCCTTGCCAGTGACACAAATCTCTCCATCTAATTTCCAAAGATGGAATTAGAGAATAGGGGTTCAGTTCTGATCTTAAGAGTACAATAAGGCTGTACCTTCCTTTTATGGGCCTGTTACAAAATCTGATCGGGTGATAACTGTACTTAACCTGTCTCCAAGAAAGTTGAAGGGATGCTTTAAAAATGAGGGGAAAGAAAGGTCAAAAGTCAGTAAAGATTGTATCTCTTTAGTCTTAGGATCCAGGATTATTGTTGATGTTATTTTTTGCAGCTTAAAAATATATTATGTCCATACTGACTTGAATAAGCTCCTGGGCTGTCTTTATGGATTTTTGTTACTGTGGTGTACTTATCTGGTGCCTTTGATAGGGCGCAGAACAGTATTAAACTACAGTGATTTCCCAGTGGTGTCCAGCACTGTATTATAATGCTCCTAGGTGACACCTGGTGAGCTCTTGCTGTGTTCCAGGCTCTGTGGAAGAGTTATATTGATTGTCTGAAGTTGTTTAGCCAGTAGGAACTGTTGGAAAATAGAAAGTTCCAGACCACTACACAGGATGGTGCCAATTCAGTCCTAAGATCCCCATACTAAGTATGAACAGCCAAATCCGATGATCAGAACTGCTTTGTCATGGTGACTCTGGCCACTCAATAAGTTACATTCTGTGTGTACATCCCTGACTCATTAAGACGGCATTGATATAATCACATCCTAGATTTCCATTCAGGCTTAAAATTTCAGAATTCTGCTGTTCTGAGGAAATAACTCATAGTTGCCTTTAAAACAACAATGGAAAACCCAAAACACCTTTTCACTCCCTAAAGTGTTCTGGATATAAAAGGTTTTTATACAGTAACCCAACAGACTCCTTTTATGGAATGTAGTTGCTTGCTTGCTTTCTCTGTCTCTCTCTGTCTGTCTGTCTCTCTCTCTCTCTCTCTCTCTCTGTCTCTCTGTCTCTCTTTCTTTCTTTTTTTTTTTTGTTTTTTGAGACAGAGTTTTGCTCTTGTTACCCAGTCTGGAGTGCAGTGGCGCAATCTCAGCTAACCGCAACCTCTGGCTCCCAGGTTCAAGTGATTCTCCTGCCTCAGCCTCCTGAGTAGCTGGGACTACAGGCATGCACCACTACACCCAGCTAATTTTGGATTTTTAAAATAGAGACAGGGTTTTTCCACATTGGTCAGGCTGATCTCGAACTCCCGACCTCAGGTAATCCACCCACCTTGGCCTCCCAAAGTGCTGGGATTACAGGTGTGAGCCATCTCGCCCAGTCTACTTGTTTTCTTTAATCATCTTTCTAGACCAGGGGTTTTTAGTGACAAGCAGAACCTGTTTGCAGTGGCAGACACTCTTGAAAACACATGAGAGTCTGGGGATTCAGTTCAGGACCCAGTAAGCAACTATGATGCTATTCCCTGCCTTTTCCCCTCACTAAAGAATGTGTGTTAGACTACAGCCCCTGACAGTGCTGATGATGTAAGAATGAACTTGAATTTGCTCAAGTATATTAAGACTAACTCACTGCAACATGGGAACTGTATTTTTTAGTATGAACATGGCTCATGATAGTTAGTGTAATAGTTTAATAATTTGTCACATAGTTTTGATTGAGAGCTGCTGTTGTACCATTTACCTTTTGAACATTTCTATTCAAAGTATGCCCCAGAATGACAAATTTACTCTGTAACTGAAGCCTTAATATTTTATATCGAACAGTTTTAAAGGACACCTTGGAAAAAAAAGGGGTATTAGGGCATTTAAAAGCAAGGATCCGAGCCGAAGTTTTCAGTGCCCTGGATGATGACCGTGAACCCCGACCATCATTGTCTCATGAAAACCTTCTAATTAATGAATTAATTCGGGAGTATTTAGAATTCAACAAATATAAGTATACCGCATCTGTCCTCATAGCAGGTAAGTGGTTATTGTTTATTACATAAAATCTATTTCTTCCTTTCCCCCAATTCTCAGAAAGTGTTTGGCCTAGAAATTGAATTCTCTTACCAAACGGTGTCATCTGGGTGACAGGGACACAAAAATCACCTGGGTTCTTTCAGTAGCTTAAACAAATTCTCATAAGGCATATTATATTGTAGGGAGAATACACAACTAAATAATCACCTAAACTAGGCATATATTTGGGAAAATCATTTATTATTCCTGGTACTGAGAATAAGCAATTGTTGACATTCTGTCCTATTTGCCACCAGTTTTTTAATATGTATTAAGCTTTGAAAATATACACAGATTAAATATATTATTTATTTAAAAATAGGCTATGTGGGTAGCTCACACCTGTAATCTCAGTGCTTTTGGAGGCCAAGGTAGGAAGATTACTTGAGCCCAGGAGTTTGAGACCAGCCTGGGCAACATAGGGAGAACCCCATCTCTACAAAAGAATTTTTAAAATTAGCCATTCACGGTGGCACACATCTGTACTCCTAGCTGCAGCTGGGCGGGGGCGGGGGAGGGGGATCACTTGAGCCCATGTGGTCAAGGCTACAGTGAGCCATGATCGCAACACTGCACTCCAGTCTGGGCAACAGAGTGGGAACCTGTTTCTCTCTCTCTGTTTTTTTTCCCCTCCAGAGACAGGGTCTCGCTGTGTTGCACAGGCTAGACTGCAGTGGTGCAATCATGGCTTATTGCAACTTTAACCATGGGCTCAAGCAGTCTTCTTGCCTCAGCCTCCCGAGTAGGTGGGACCATAAGTACATGCCTTCATGCCCAGCTAATTTTTTTTATTATTTGTGGAAATGAGTTCTCCCTATGTTGCCCAAACTGATATTGAACTCCTGGGCACCTAATCCCTGCCTCTTTAAAAAAAAAAAAACAACAAAAAACACACACTCTATCTCTCTCTCCCTCTCTCTCTCGTTCTCTCTCTCTCTCTATATATATATATATGTAGATATGTGGATATCTATATATATGTGTATGTGTGTATATATATATATATATCTATATATATAATGGAGATAAAACTTTAAAATATTACTACTATGTAGTGGTTAGGTGTAGTTACAAATGTATGTATGTAAAAGCATGGTATTTATAAAGGACTAAGCAGGTATATTAGGTTGTTCTTGAATTGCTATAAAGAAATACCTGATTACGTGGCAGCTGGCGAAGAAAAATTAAGAGAAAAGTAAAAAAAAAAAAAAACGAAATACCTGAGACTGGGTAATTTGTGAAGAAGAGAGATTTACGTAGCTCACGGTTCTACAGACCGTACAGGCATGGCATTGGCATCTGCATGCCTTCTGGGAGGCCCTGGGGAGCTTTTACTCACCACGTTACATTGCGAAAGCAGGGCCAAGGGTGGGGAAGGTTAGTCCCACACACTTTAAATGACCAGATCTCAGGAGAATCCACTCACTGTGTTAAGGACAGCACCAAGCCATGAGGGATCCACCCCCATGACCCAAACAACTCCCACCAGGTCCCACCTCCAACACTGGGGAGTATATTTCAGCATGAGATTTGGGCAGGGATAAATACCCAAACTCAATCAGCAGGGAAACTCCAAATTCATCCTAGTAATAGGAGGCCTAGTGATAGCAGGCATAGAATGATTTTGGGGATAATATAAATTTCCTCTATCTGTTAAATTTTATTTCTTAAGAAGTAAATTTTCTCTTGAAGTGTAACAGTTATTGAGTGGTGAGAATATTTTTAATATCTACTGACTTTTTAAATATCTTCTCTCAAGAAAGTGAGGAGAGACTGGATATAAATAAGTCAGAATCCTGGTTACCCTCAAGTTGGAGTGGTGGGGATGCAGTTGGGGGGCGGTCCAAGGCACCCTGAATGTGCATCATTGGATTACCTTGTTTCAGGTTCTGTCTCTGCTTTGACTACTGCGTGCCTCAGAGATGAGCCTCAGTAAAGAAACGAGACCAGAAAGTAGATTTTGGAAGAGAGAATGAATTCTTTGTGAAGTTAGAATTTTTCATTACAGATCCTTTATTTAGTATTAAACATACATCTTAACTACATAAAGACTGGTGATTTTTATTGGTTTCAGGACCTTTGATATCAGCATCTCTACTTTCCCTAGTTTGTTCTAGATGGCTGTATCATACCAGTTACACCCAGAAAAGAAGAAAATTATGAAAATATCATGGGTTAGGTGTCTTGGGATTCACTAGAATGAAATATAGTGACAGTAGTCAGGTTTTCATATTAAATGTTTTGGCTTTTTAAGAAAACTGGGATATAATTTAAATACAATTAAATTTACCTTTTAAACTAAACTGTCCATTTCTATGGTTTTAGTCAGATTCCTGCAGTTGCATAATTACCACCACAATCACAAACAAGACATCACCAGCCTTTTTGGCACCAGGGACCGGTTTTGAGGAAGACAGTTTTTCCATGGACCTGGGAGGATGGTTTGGGATGATTTAAGGACACTTCATTTATTGTGCATTTTATTTCTATTTTCACATTGTAATATATAATGAAATAATGATACAACTCACCATAATGTAGAATCAGTGGGAACCCTGAGCTTGTTTCTGCAACTAGACAGTCCCATCTGGGGGTGATGGGCAACAGTGAGAGATCATCAGGCATTAGATTCTCATAAGGAGTCTGCAACCCAGATCCCTCTCCTGCGCAGTTCACAGTAGGGTTCCCGGTCCTATGAGAATCTAGTGCTGCCAACAGGAGGTGGAGCTCAGGCAGTGATGCAAGTGATGGGCAGCAGCTGTAAATACAGATGAAGCTTCTCTCACTTGCTTGCCCACTGCTCACCTCCTTCTGTGCTGCCCAATTTCTAATCTGTGGCTTTGGGGTTGGGGACCGTTGCTATAGATGGAACCATACAGGATGTAGCCTTTTGAGTCTGCCTCTTTTCACTTAGCATAATACATAAGAGATTCAGCCATGTTTGTTTTTCCTTTGAATAGTGTTCCATTGTGTGGCTGTGCTAGTTTGCTCATCTATTACCAGTTGATGGACACTGGATTGTTTCTAGTTTTGGCAGTTAGAAACGAAGCTGCCATAAACATTTACATACAGGTTTCTGTGAGAACATAAGTTTTCATTAATCTGGGGTAAAAAGCTAAGAGTGGGATTGCTGGGTTGTGTGGTTAAGCGCATGCATGCTCACCTTTATAAGAAAACTGCTCAGCTGTTTTCCAAAGTGGCTGTATCATTGTGCTTTCCCACCAGCAAAGTGTGAAAGTTCCAGTTGCCCCACACTTAAGGTTAATTTAATTTTCCTTTATAATTATTATCACTAAATGGATATTCTTTTTTTTCTTTTTTTTTTTTTTTGACCTAAACTCCTTTTTATTTCACACAGGTATGCAAGTTGTGAGGCCAAGGACATGACTGTAAACAAGGTTTAATTTAAATGAATAGCCGGACATGGTGGCTCACGCCTGTAATCCCAGCACTTTGGGTGGCCTAAGGGGTGAATTATCTGAGGTCTGGAGTTCCAGACCAGCCTGGCCAATATAGTAAAACTGCATCTCTACTAAAAATACAAAAAATTAGCTGGGTATGGTAGCATGCGTCTCTAATCCTAGCTACTTGGAAAGCCAAGGCAGGAGAATGGCTTGAACCCAGGAGGCAGAGGTTGCAGTGAGCTGAGATAGCGCCATTGCACTGCAGCCTGGGCAACAGAGCAAGACTCCATCTCCTCCCACCCCTCCCCCCCAACAAAAAAAAACATTACATAAATAAGCTTTCTTCGCCATGAAAATACTACTTGTCACTTCACACTTGGTCGAACACACACAAAATCCCCACCCTATCTGGCACAGATACACTTAATAAGCAATATCAAGTACAATTTCTATGTTATTTTTCTCCAGAGAATAGTTGTCTTCAATCTTTTACTCAGCTCCTTACATGGGTTTTGGTGGGGGTTCTGGGGCAGCACCCACAGTTCTAAATCGGGGTGGGGGTGTTCGGTCCTTGCGGGCTTTGGGAGATCGACTCCTGACTACTTTATTGTGAATTGCACAACTCACACAGTAATGTAGCTTCACATAGAGCCTGGGAAGTACATAGGCATCAAAGACGCACGCTTCAGAAATATCCCTGACTGCTGCGGCCTCCATTATGTTTGGAATGACAAATTTCTTTTTTTTTTTTTTTTTTTTCCTAGACGGAGTTTCGCTCTTGTTACCCAGGCTGGAGTGCAATGGCGCGATCTCGGCTCACCGCAACCTCCGCCTCCTGGGTTCAGGCAATTCTCCTGCCTCAGCCTCCTGAGTAGATGGGATTACAGGCACGCACCACCATGCCCAGCTAATTTTTTGTAGTTTTAGTAGAGACGGGGTTTCACCATGTTGACCAGGATGGTCTCGATCTCTTGACCTCGTGATCCACCCGCCTCGGCCTCCCAAAGTGCTGGGATTACAGGCTTGAGCCACCGCGCCCGGCGGAATGACAAATTTCTTAATGGTCCTGTCCTTGGGCACGCATTGGGCACATTTCATGCAGCAAATAGGCTGAACATGGCCATGGCCCTTTTTGGCACTACTGTTGTTCCTTCTTTTCTTTGTTGTCTTGGAAGCTCGCAGCAGAGAAAGAAAACCACTAAATGGATATTCTTTTCAAAAATAACTTATTGGTAAACAGTCTTCTAAAATTTAGTATTGTAGTTTGGATATAGAAACAGTATTTTTCCAACCAAACACTGTGGAATTTAAAAAGCAAATTTGTGTTAAACTGTATTAAGACATGCATTTAACAAAAGAGATATTTTGAAAGTCATAAAGTCACATGCAATTGAATCTGTCTTGGTATGTGTTATCATTGTTCTTCCAAAGTCTGAAAAATGTGTATTTGGTAAATGTGAATCTTACCAAAATCCTGTTTGCTTTTTAGTTTAATAGACTCAGTGTTCTCATAAATTTCTTTCTCCCAGAATCTGGTCAACCTGTAGTTCCATTGGACAGACAGTTTCTCATCCATGAACTAAATGCATTTGAAGAATCAAAGGATAATACAATGTAAGAATTTTTTTAAAGAAGTTTCTAAATATTGTATTAGTCATAATTGTGCATGGTGGTTTTGCTTCTTTTTAATTCAGCAAGTATTTATTCAGATCTAGTGTGTGTCAAGCATTGTATTAAATCCAGTGTGTGCAGCAGTGAACAAGTCAGATAAGGTCTGTGTTTGCCGAAGCTAAAATTCCTGTGGCCTCAGAGTGACTAAGCATCTCTACTTCTTACTGGGGTTAGCACCTTTTGACTTCTTGATGCTTGCTCCGTCTAAGGCTTTGTTCTTTTCTTTCTTTCTTTCTTTTTTTTAAATTATAATTTTAACTTTTCTTTTTTTTTTCTTTTTCTTTTCCCAAAACTCTGAAAATATACCAAGTAAATGTTTAACTTTTATTTGTATTTTCAAATTATTTTTGTAGAGAGGAAGCCTCACTTTGTTGCCCAGGCTGGTCTTGAACTCCTGATCTCAAGTGATCTTCTTGCCTTGGCCTCCCAAAGTGCTAGGGTTACAGGCATGAATCCCCTGCACCTGGCCTCTGAGGCTTTGCTTTGTCAGCTGTTTTCTTCATATTTAACTCTTCCTCCACTTCAACTTAGGAATGTACTCAGTTCTTTCCTTTCCTAAAAAAAAAAAAACCTATGAACGCCCAAACCCAAGCTTCTGGTTGAATTCCTTTTTCTGCCAAGATTACTGAATCAGCCCTCTGCTTTCGTTACAATTACTCCCTCTGTTGCCCTCCATCCACCTCCTCTTACCAACTATGGTGGGTGACAGTGAGAGATCATCAGGCATTAGATTCTCATAAGGAGCCCCCAACCCAGATCCCTTTCATGCATAGTTCACAGCAGGGTTCCCTGTCCTCTGAGAATCTAGTGCTGCCATCAAGAGGTGGAGTTCAGGCAGTGATGCAAGTGATGGGCAGCGGCTGTAAATACAGATGGAATATGCTCTTGTAAGGAGGATGACCACTTTCTAGTTTTCTTAGTTTTTTTTTTTCTTTTTCTATTTCAGTATTTCTTTTTTTTTTTTTCTTTGAGACGGAGTTTCACTCTCGTTACCCACGCTGAAGTGCAATGGCGCGATCTCGGCTCACCGCAACCTCCGCCTCCTGGGCTCAGGCAATTCTCCTGCCTCAGCCTCCTGAGTAGCTGGGACTACAGGCACGCGCCACCATGCCCAGCTAATGTTTTGTATTTTTAGTAGAGAAGGGGTTTCACCATGTTGACCAGGATGGTCTCGATCTCTTGACCTCGTGATCCACCCGCCTCGGCCTCCCAAAGTGCTGGGATTACAGGCTTGAGCTACCACACCCGGCCCTATTTCAGTATTTCTTAAACTTTTTCCGGGGGGGGGGGTCCCTGAATGGCCAAAGAAAAGTACATAGGACGCCTGAAAACATAGTTTAAAGCAGCCATTTTTTAGCTAGAAATTTCTTAGAAACCTTGTTTTCTCATCCTAAAAGTTCTTAAGGCCATGTGATGTGTCTCATCTTGTAATGCCAGTACTTTGGAAGGCTGAAGTGGGTGGATCACTTGAGCTCAGGAGTTCAAGACCAGCCTGGGCAACATGGTGAAACCCCATGTCTAGTCAGGCACAATGGCTCGTGCCTGTAATCCCAGCACTTTGGGAGGCCTAGGCAGGCGAATCACCTGAGGTTAGGAGTTTGAGGCCAGCGTGGCCAACATGGCTAAACCCTGTCTCTAGTAAAAATACAAAAAAAATTAGCCAGGCATCCTGGTGTGTGCCTGTAGCCTCAGGTACTAGGGAGGCTGAAGCACAAGAATTGCTTGAACCCGGGCAGTGGAGGTTGCAGTGAGCCAAGATCGCACCACTGCATTCCAGCGTGGGTGACAGAACCAGATCCTGTCTCAAAAAAAAAAAGTTCTTAAAGTTGTTTCTTTTACCGTCCAAATGTTTTCAGTGACATTCCAGTTAAATTTAACTCTCCCACAAATCCTTGTGTAAAATTAATGTTCCAGGATCATATATCACCTTTGTCATAGTGTGTAAAATGAAGTCCCAATTGCTTAGCAAAGCACTTTAGGCTTCTATCTTTCTTTTTTTTCTTTTTTTAGAATTTAGAATATACTTTACTATTAAGCAGCATCGGAGAGCAAATGGTGAACCTGAATCTGAATGTTCAACTGAATTTTTTTTTACAGTTAGCACCTGTAAGATATGAATTCTCAATAACTCTCTTACAAAACAGCTAATTTCAAGACTCACACGAATGTAACGAAAAATATGTTTTCGCCGGTCATGGTGGCTTATGCCTGTAATCCCAGCACTTACGGCGGCTGAGACGGGCGGATCATGAGTACAAGAGCTCGAGACTATCCTGATCAAGATGGTGAAACTCCATCTCTGCTAAAAATACAAAAATTAGCTGGGCATGGTACTGGGCACCTATAATCCCAGCTACTCGGGAGGCTGAGGCAGGAGAATTGCTTGAACCCAGGAGGCAGAGGTTGCAGTGAGGCAAGATTGTGCCACTGCACTGTAGCCTCAAAAAAAGAAGAAAAATAAAAATGTGTTTTCCTTGAAAAAATGTAGCTTCTGAGTCACAGGTCCGTTTCTACCCCTGTGTCTTGTTGTATCTGCTCACACCTGATTTCTGATTGTACCCTGAAGACACTTGGCAGCTTTATGCTTCTTTGCCTTGGTAAACCAATCCCTTAGCCCAGAAGCCCCAGATCACTTTCTCCCTCTTAACGCCTCCTATTGGAGCATCTTTCCTTTCTATTGGCCCTGTTCAGATATTAACTCCTTTATGGCATTTTCCTTTCTCTTCCCCTCATCTTCCTGTGTGTGTGGTTTGGTTTTTTGTTTGTTTTGAGATAAGGTCTTGCTCTGTCGGCCAGGCTGGCGTGCAGTGGCCCCATCTCAGCTCACTGCGACTTCTGCTTCCCGGGTTCAAGCAATTCTCCTGCCTCAGTCTCCCAAGTACCTGGGATTACAGGTGCCCACCACCACACTCTGCTAATTTTTTTTTTCATATTTTTTAGTAGAGATGGGGTTTCGCCTTGTTGGCCAGGCCGGTCTCAAACTCCTGGCCTCAAGTGATCTGACCCCCTCCTCCTCCCAAAGTGCTGTGTTTTTGTTTTTCAAGGCAGGGTTTCACTCTGGCACCCAGGCTCTAGAGTACAGTGGCTTGATCATGGCTCACTGCAGCCTTGAACTCCTGGGTTCAAGTGATCCTCCCGTCTCAGTCTCCCATGTAGCTAGAATTACAGGCACACGGCATCATGCCTGACTAATTTTTGTATTTTTTGTAGAGGTGGTGTTTTACCATGTTAGCCAGGCTGGTCTCCAGTTCCTGGGCTCAAGCCGTCCACCTGCTTCAGCCTTCCAAAGTGCTGGGATTATAGGTGTGAACCACTGCAATCCCAGTTTTGGAAAGCATAAAAATTGTACAATTGAGAACAGCAAGAAAAATAATTTGTTGAATATAAGTATGACTCAGTATGAGCAGTGAGGTATTACATCGTTTAGTACAGGATATTTTACACTTAGCAGTTGATGGAAATAAGCAATGATTATACTCCTATTGGCTTCTTGGTAGCTTTTGAGAACTTACTTTAGATGAAAGTATTAAGTAAGAAGTTTGTGCTCGCTTTGGCAGCACATAGACTAAAACTGGAGCAATACAGAGACGATTAGCATGGCCCCAGCAAAGATATGACATGCATATTTGTGAAACGTTTTATATTTTTTTTAAAAGAGAAGTAAGTTTGAGAGAGGATGAGGAAGCAAAAAAAAAGTTGCTGAAACAGCTTTATTTTTTAAGTTAGATAACTTCTTTAAGCCCTGGTTTTTCATGCTTCAGTGATTTGCATTCACCAAGTTTGCCATAATCACATATTATGATTTTTTCTTTTCTTTTTTTTTTTTTTTTTTTTTTTTGAGGCAGACTCTCACTGTGTCACCAGGCTGGAGTGCAGTGGCATGATCTTGGCTTACTGCAACCTTCGCCTCCCAGGTTCAAGTGATTCTCCTGCCTCAGCTTCCCAAGTAGCTGGGATTACAGGCGCCTGCCACCACACCTAGCTGATTTTTGTATTTTTAGTAGAGACAGGATTTCACCATGTTGGCCAGGATGGTCTCAATCTCTTGACCTCATGATCTACCCGCCTTGGCCTCCCAAAGTCATGGGATTATGGGTATGGCCTTATACTTTTTACTTGTAGATTTACAGTGCCGTATCTAAAACCATTGAAGCCAGATATATGTTTTGAAAATTCAAAAGTTTTCAGGTTTTAAAAAGTAATATGGTTAGTTAGATGTAATGACACTCCTGCAGTCCTAGCTAGTTAGGTGGATGAGGCAAGATTGCTTAAATCCAGGAGTTCGAGGCTGCAGTGAGCCATGATCTTGCTGCTGTACACCAGCCTGAGCCACACAGCAACACTTCAATTCCTTTCTTTTTTAATGCGATGGAGTCGTGCTCCATGCCCAGGCTGGGGTGCAATGGCACAATCTCAACTCACTGCAATTTCTGCCTCCTGGGTTCAAACAATTCTCCTGCCTCAGCTTCCCGAGTAGCTGGGACTGCAGGCATGTGCCACCACACCCAGCTAATTTTTGTTTTTTTTCGCTCCTACAGCTGAAATTTTTTATTTTTAGTAGAGATGGGGTTTCGCCGTGTTAGTCAGGATGGTCTCAATCTCCTGAACTCGTGATCCGCCTGCCTCAGCCTCCCAAAGTGCTGGGATTCACCGCGCTTGACCGACACTTCATTTCTTAAAAAAAAAGAAATTAATATGGTACCTATATCAAATAATACATATATGCGCCAGGGTGCCAGGGAGTCATAAGACAGTGTTCCACAATCAGATTAATTTTTTCTTTTTTGGTTTTTTGAGACAGAGTTTTGCTCTTGTTGTCCAGGCTGGAGTGCAGTGGCACGATCTTGGCTCGCTGCAACCTCTGCCTTCCGGGTTCAAGCAATTCTCCTGCCTCAGCCTCCCTAGTAGCTGGGATTACAGGTGTGTGCCCCTATGCCCGGCTAGTTATGTATTTTTAGTAGAGATGGAGTTTCTCCTTGTTGGTCGGGCTGGTCTCGAACTCCTAATCTCAGGTGGTCCGCCCACCTCGGCCTCCCAAAGTGCTGGGATTACAGGCGTGAGCCATCGTGCCCGGCACATTAATATTTTCAGATAAAGTAAGATAAAGTCTGCAATAGTCTTGTTAGGTCAAGCCATGTCATCTGATGATTTTTTGCCAGATATAGGAAGATAATCCAGTTTTCAGAATTTTGCATGTCAGAATTACAGGAAAGGTATTACAAGGCTGCACTTTTCTTTAAGTTATCTTTTTTAAACTTATTTTTAAAAATAAGCCTCAATCCATGAAATTGCAAGTTGCCTTTCCCTCCTGGGCTCAAGCCATCCTCCCACCTCAGCCTCCCAAGTAGGTGAGACCACAGGTGCTTATTACCTTGTGTGGCTAATTTTCTAAAAATCGTTGTAGAGCTAGGGGACTCGTGTTGTCCAGGCTGTCTCAAACTCCTGGCCTCAAGCAGTTCTCCCACTTCAGTACCCACAAACTGCTGGGATTACAGGCTTGAGCCTCCATGTCTAACCCAAAATTTTTATCACAAGTAAATTGTCTTGAATATTAATTTGAAAAATAAAATTTTTAACATCTAAAAATCATCTTGAACCAATGAACACATTGTGGAAGGTTAGTGTAAAGTAAACAGAGATCTGTTTTATATCACTAGGTGATGCTTTCATAGGAGTTGAGGCATCTTGTTAAATAAAGAAACTTACTTTTCTGATTTCCTTGTGGCATGGAAAAATTGGCATGATATTATTCCAGAATTTGGTGGCTTAAAACAACGTAGGTTATTTGTGGGATATTTGGGGATTTGGGATTGGCTTAGTCACGTGAGTCTACCTCAGGGTCCCCTGTGAGGTTGTAGTCAAGATGCCAGCCAGCGTTGTAGTCTAAAGCCTGAACCCTTGAATGCAGCTGAACTATCTGCTTCCAAACTCATAAGGATATTGACAGGCGGCCTCAATTCCTTGCCACATGTACCTTTCCAGGGCTACTGAAGTGTCCTGAGGCATCTCACTTCTCCTAAAGGCAGCAGTCCAAGAGAAAGCAAGGAGGAAGCCACAGTGCCATTACCACGCAGCCTCTGAGGTCAGCCTTCTGCCAGTTAGAAGTGAGTTCAGCTCACACTCAAAGGGAGGGCAATGAGATTCCATCTTTGGAAGGGAGTGTCGCACTTTAAACCATTATACCAGCTAATAAATAGATACCTATCTCAAAAAATAAATCCTCCTCACAAATATATGCACCTACTATGTACCCACAAAAATTAAAAATTAAAATGATTAAATCCTTTTAATTGTATTTTCAAATATGAGCCTGGAAACAAAGGAAAACATTTCTGTTGTACCACTCTTTATTGTCAGCAGAACAGCTTTCCATTATACAAGAGTACTCATATGAATCCCCAGGCAGCACATTGTGAGGAAAAGAATATGGGATTTGGGGTTCAAGTGTAAACTTTGTTTACAGTCTGAGGGAATCTCTAGCAAATCTCCTGGCTGTGGTTTTTTTGTAAATTACAATTGATGATTTTGACATTACACGATGAGGAGCAGAGGAAATGAGTTGAGTGTTCCGTAAACTATAAAGAAGGTTTTAAAATACTAAGTCACATAAATATTAATATAAATAAATGTTAGCTACATAGGAGCTAACATTTATATACCATGTCATATGTGCCAGGCACAGTAAAAAAAAAAAAACACTTGACATTTATTAATTCATTTAGTGCATAACAACCCTGTAAGGGAGGGATGGTGCTTATCCTAATTTGTAAAGGAAGAAACATTTATGAGGCTGGAGAGGTTCTTATACAGAGTCCCACAGCTAGCAAATGGCAAAGCCAAGATTTGAACCCAGGCCGCCTGGCTCTCAGGACCTAAGACTTTCTCAGGGCAAGGATTTATTGATCAAGAGGTGTTAATACCTGTTGTGTATTAGACAGGGTTGTGTATAAGGTATTGGGAAATATTATACTGGACTTTGGAGTTTAAAAGATAAATTCCTGTGGATTGATAGCAGTGATATTTCAGTGCAGATGAGGTGTAAGTTGTTAACATGTTTTCTCTGGGTTTTAAAATTGTCATTAAATTAAATGGTACTCTTCAAAAGTACAAACCATTTGCAATTTGGATAATAATCATCCAGCTTTTTAAAGTCTGATGAATCACTTGGTCATTTTGGTGTCAGAGGTTGCCTTTTAAAGAATAACTGTTTTAAGGCTTTCCTGTTTATGCAAATTTACTAGCTCTTGGTTTTATTTTCTTCCTGCTGTAGACCTCTTTTATATGGGATTTTAGCCCATTTCTTGCACGGAACTAAGGATGGCATCCAGAATGCATTTCTGAAAGGACCTTCACTTCAGCCTCCAGACCCAAGTCTTGGCAGACAACCTAGCAGAAGAAAGCCAGTGGGTATGAGTTTCCAAGATTCATTGTTTAGCTGTCAGCAAATATATTTTCTTCCTATATATTTTTCTTTGGAATCTTTACTGAGCTTTTGCGTCATAGTTTAATTCTGCGTCTATCTAATATGGTTAGCCTATGTTACACCAAGAAATAGAATGCTTTTTGGAAAGGGAATCTTGGACAGGGAAGAGTGGCAGGCATAACTGGGCCAAATTCTTAGATGTAATTTCTTTATAGAAGTATTGAAAACTGCAGGCCAGGCACAATGACTCACGCCTGTAATCCCAGCACTTTGGGAAGCTAAGGCAGGTGGATCACTTGAGGCCAGGAGATTGAGACTAGTCTAAGTGATGTAGTGAAATTTTTTTTCTCCATTTTTTTAAAATTAACAAATTAAATGTTTAACAAGTAAAATAAAGAAGTTCAAAAACTCCAAATTTCACGTAAATTCATAGTCTTTGGAGCAGCTTAGATCCTTACAATACTAAATAGATAGGTTTTTATCAAGTGATCATTTTTTTTTCTCTCCGTGACTACAAAATAAAAGGTAAGATTGCTAATACACATAGCTAAATATAGACTTCTCAAAGTCATTTGCATTTTTAGGATACCATTTATGTTAGGGTGAAAGTTACCTACAAGTTATAGATTCTTCGGAGAATGGTCCATATTTCTTTCAGAATACTTGTTTTTTAAATGAGCTTTTAGTAGCTTTTAAATTTTTATGTATTTTTTTGAGACAAGGTCTCACTCTGTCACCAAGCTAGAATGCAGTGGTGTGATCATAGCTCACTGTAACATTGACCTGCTGGGCTCAGATAATCCTCTCACCTTCTCGCCTCAGCCTCCCTAGTAGCTAGGACTTCAGGCACCACATCCAGCTAGTTTTTTAATTTTTGTAAAGATGGAAGTCTCACTGTGTTCACTAGGCTGGTCTTGAACTCTTGGTCTTAAGTGATTTCCCACCTAAGCCTCTCAGAGTGTTGGGGTTAGGCTCCTCAGTTATTTTGATTATATCAGCAATAGGATACCAGCTTCATCATTTGAATTGTGTGGGTTATAGCTCAGTGTTTGCAGTTGTGGTAGAGAGCTGATCAATTATTTTTTTTTTTCTTTGAGACAGAGTCTTACTCTGTCGCCCAGGCTGGAGTGCAGTGGCGTGATCTTGGCTCACTTCAACCTCTACCTCCCAGGTTCAAAGGATTCTCCTGCCTCAGTCTCCTGAGTAGCTGGAACTACAGGTGTGCGCCACCACACCCAGCTAATTTTTTTTTTTTTTTTTAAATTTTTAGTAGAGATGGGGTTTCACTCTGATGTTGGTCAGGCTGGTCTCAAACTCCCGACCTTGTGATCTGCTCACCTCAGCCTCCCAAAGTGCTGAGATTGCAGGAGTGAGCCGTGACGCCCGGCCAGAGCTGATCAATTTTTAAGGACAGTTACAGGTGGGGTTCAGGTGCTGATTATCAAAACAAATGTAAATTTTGAATGTTGACACAAACTTTTAGGAAATGCCTAAAATGGATTGCCTTTGTAGTTTTCCTAAACTATGAACAGTAGTGACTGTGTTAGATGTTTGCTGTCTCTTGAGGTCTGAAAGTAAACTGAGTCAGGATAACCTCTTTGGGAGGTTGTTGCTGACTGCACTAGGAGATAACTTTCTATATATCTTAGAATTCTGGATGGGATGGAACACTGGAAAATAAGTCATTCCCACCTACTTATTTTACAGTTGAGGAAACCTTAAGAAGGTTCCAGGACTAGGAGGTTAAGTGACTCTTCTGAGGCCTGTAGCAGATCATTAGTAGCAGAATCAGCACATTATTGGTTGCTGTTCCTGTATACCTTTCCATTTATAGATTATGGAGAGGTTTTCAAAATTCTCTTTTTAGCGATTGGTAAGGAACTGACATTACTGCCTACTATTTGGCAAGTACTTAACAAGCAAAATAAAACATTAATTGTGCTAGTACATGAGTAAATCTCTAAATTTTTCAAATAATATAAAGTTCCCTTTAACTTTCCTTTTTTCCTTCTTGCCTTTCCTTAACTCCTCAATTCTCCTCCATTTTTATAGAAGGTATCCGTGTTAGCAGTTTGCTGGGTATTCTTTGGGACTCATTTCTATTTTATTTTATTTTATTTTGATTTGATTTTATTTGATTTGAGTTGGACTCTTGCTCTGTCACCCAGGCTGGAGTGCAATGGCACAATCTCAGCTCACTGCAACCTCCGCCTCCCAGGTTCAAGTGATTCTCCTGCCTTGACCTTCCATGTAGCTGGGACTGCAGGCGTGTACTACCACACCTGAGTAATTTTTGCATTTTTAGTAGAGACAAGATTTCACTATGTTGGCCAGGCTGGTCTCCATCTCATGACCTTAGGTGATCTGCCTACTTCGGCCTCTCAAAGTGCTAGGATTACAGGCTTGAGCCACCGCCCCTGGCCATGCCTGGCCCCTTCGGGACTCATTTCTGTGTATTTAAATGTATATGCATTGTTTCTGAAGGGACCTTCAGTTCAGCCTCCAGACCCGTCTTGGCAGTCAACCTAGTAGAAGAATGCCAGTGGGTATCAGTTTCCAAGATTCGTTGTTTAGCTGTCAGCAAATATATTTTCTTCCTATATATTTTTTTCCTATATATTTGCTTTTTTTCACTTGCTGATACTTGTAGATCTCATATTCCAGAGTATTATTATAACCATTCTTTTTATAATTTTAGAGATGAGTGTGTAATCTTTCATCTAGGTTGGAGTGCAGTGGCACAGTCATAGCTCACTATAGCCTCGAACTCCTGGGCTCAAACAGTCTTCTCACATCAGGCTCCCAAGTGGCCAGGACGGTAGGGGTGCACCACTGCACCTCGTTCATTTTTTAATGTTTTGCAGTCAGGATCTTGTCATGTTGCCCAGGCTAGTCTCCTGCCTTAAAATCACTTTTTTGTAGTTTTAAATATTTTGCTTTTATAGTATTGTGATGTAACATTTTATCTTTGTCCACACATTTCTCTTGCGTGGATGCCTAGTTATTGGTTCAAAGGATATGCATATTTTAAAATGTAGTAGATATTGTCTGATTCTCCTCCAAAAAGGCTTTAGTAGTCTATACACTTACCAAGAATATATGACAAAGTGGGTTTCTGTGTTCACTTGTCACCAATGGATATTGTATACCTTAACACTTGTTAACACAGTAACCCCAAGTCATTGATACTGTCAGTCCCATAAAGAAAAATAATCTCTTGAGAACTTGAGAAATAACTTCCTGGTTTGTAAGAGTTTCATAGGTGGTCTCCTTAATATTCATAGCTAATGACTAGTAAGAAAGTTACAGGTAACACTATTTCCTAACCAAGTTCTGTTCTTCTGAGAGAAAAGCGGTAGGTTGGGCATACACTGTAGGGAGAGAGGTATTTATGGAGGTAGGAAGGGAGGCAGGGAGAGACACGCAGACACACCCCCTATACACCACTAAAGTGCCAGAAACATCAGAGTCAAGTTTAAGTCAGTAAAGCAGTCTTAGTGCCGGTTCTGTGGAAAGCTCTTTGGACGGCTGAGAAATGAGGATGACTGCTAAACGAATCAGGCAAGAACAGTGATTTTGCAGATTATTTCCTTTGTTATCAAAAATTTTCTTGGCACAACCTCTTTGTGTAGTGCCTTGAAAATTGTCAGCCAAAATCGCATCATGTATCAGTAACACACTTAACCATTCCATTTACTTTCCCCACTCTAGCTCACTGTCTGCACAACTCTTATTCGATAGTATTGAAAAGGTTATGAAGATATTAAAATCCTCATTCTCTACATCACAGCACCTTATCTCCCAGAAGCTCATTCAACAGAAATATCAAACACTGAAACTAAATAGGCTTTTATTTGGAAATAAGTCCAGGCTGGGCGTGGCGGCTCACCCCTGTAATCCTAGCACTTTGGGAGGCCAAGGCGGGCAGATCACCTGAGGTCAGGAGTTGGAGACCAGCCTGGCCAACATGGTGAAACCCCATCTCTACTAAAAATACAAATATTAGCCAGGCACGGTGGTTCGTGCCTGTAATTCTAGCTGCTCAGGAGGCTGAAGCAGGAGAATCGCTTGAACACAGGAGACAGAGGTTGCACTGATCTGAGATTATGCCACTGCACTCCAGCCTGAGTGATAGAGCGAGCGAGACTCCATCTCAAGAAAAAAGAGAGAAGTAAGTCAAAGGCATGCCAAGACGAAAAAGTGCTTCTCTCATCTAAGTTTCCAAAGTGCTGAAAAAAAATGAAGAGGGTTATGTAGGCACACCCACCTTTAAAATAACAGCCAATGCATTTGTACTGCTGCTGTTAGTGCTTGTAATCTTGGAGGCAAAGTAGTTTTTGCTCTTCAATAAATTTTATATATATAA